TAAGGTTAATTTCAAATTGACTCTTAGTTTAGCTCTTGCTTTTACTGTACTTATTGATTTTAAAATATGATTTAAACTCTAGTCTACAAGCATCCTCGTTCACATTTTCCCCTAAATTTTCATGTTATGTGTTTAAATTATTTATTGGCTGCATCTAAAAATATAAAAATATTTTTAATTTAAACATAGAGATAAAATAATACAATATAACCTACAGTAACTTAAATCAGGAGTCTTCAACGTTTTCCAGGCCAAGGACCCCAAACTGATGGCAGATGGAGCAGGGACCCTCTAATTATATATATTGAATAAAATAGTGTTCTATTAAACTGCTCCTATAGTCACTCTATTACAGATGGAGTAATGTAACTAAAGTAATCCCTCCCTGGGATTATTAAAGTATTTCTGATTCCTGGTTGATGGGACAGGTGTTGTGAATGAAACGGTGCCCAGCTTGAAAGAGCTCCTGTGTGTCGCTGAATGTGTGCATTGATCATGATCTAGACAGGGGCCAACAGGGGCCAGGGCCCCTATAGATCAGGCCCTGGCCCCTGTTTTGGCCCCTGTAACAAAGACATAATACTGAAAGAAATTCTAATGATGATCTGCGCTGGAACAGACATGGTTACTGATAGCTCCTTTGGATCTATTTCGTTTTTTTCCTTTATAAATTCTGTTTTACTAATTATTTAAAAACCATAAGGCGATAGCTTCAGTGGGATTGAGATAGGATCCCAGTTTCCATCTATTAAACGTGTTTTTCAAAACAAATTGCTCTAATTTTTATAGCTGAATTTATCAGTTTTTCTTGAGTTCAAATTCAGATTTTGTAGAAAAAAGTAATTTTAACTAAAAGTGAAAAATATGGAAAATTCCTAAATTCTGAATGTATATTGACCTAATATGACATCGAATTTTAAATCAACCTAATTGAATAGAAATTTCACTTCATGGAGCTCTATAAATATATTTGAATCCTTTGCCTTTTTTTTTATTTCATGCTTTTCTTTGCCCCCATGAAAACACGCTGGCCCCCTCCTGGCCCCCTGGTATATTTGGTCTAGAACCGCCACTGGCATTGATGACTGAAAGACATTTTCTGCCTCCATTTATCTGTTTACTACAGTCTGTTGGATTCATGTTAATGTGGATTTAAAGACATTTTAATTAGTGGACAATCTGGTTTTTATTCATTCCACTGGTAGTCTGTTTTGATCAAATCGAAATAAAAGCCTGCATCTAATTCTGGCCTCCTTCCAATAATGGCCTGGACCAAGATGTACCTGAGTGAAATAAAGGCCCCACCCTATATTAGAGGATTTACGGTACCTTCATTGGAATACATCGGGTAAAAGTGAAAAAAAGAGTTATTCCACCTTTCTGATTCCTGATCCTCC